GTCTCTATTCTTTCTCTCGGAAAAATCCTTCACGTTGTCTCCCTTCTTTTCACTCCTGCAAACCATAAAACAACGTTGACTTTTATAACTAGGGGCAATTAATAACCGAAGGGAAGCAGACTTTTCAATCTGTTGATATTTGGTACATGCACATCATTAGGAATTTGAACGTTCATCACCAGTCATTGCGAATTTTTCAATGTGATTTTTTTTCGAGTACATGAATGTCTACAAGTTTTGCCCGAGAGAAAAATTGTTAATAACCTCGAAAATCTGTTGAGATCTGTGGCCCAAAATTTCAAATATGAAAATTTCTTGAAATTTTCGTTGGATTTTTCTTCGGCCACTCAGAAATACAGAACCACATGCCACTTTAATTTCACAGCCAAAGGGGAAGTTTCAATAGACCACTCGAATTTTTCATTCAACTTGTATGGCCGGCAAAAATTTGCAGAAATATCTTTAGTCGATTTTCGATTTTACCTCAATTTCGTTCAAAATAGACATTTGTCCGATTAATTTTTGAAAAGGTTGGTTTTTCATTTAGTATTTAATGCTAAGAGTATTATGCATTGTTCTGATTTTTGCCATAGTTCTATTTTATAATAGCAGTTATTTGCAGGAAAAACACGACTGTGACGTCAAAAGAGCAGACTTTTTAACAGGTAAAACAGTCTACCTATACCTCGTTCAAATACTTTGGATGGAAAATTCACACCGTAGTGGTCTGTCCCAGTTAAATATTGTTTACGCGTTTTTGCCTACACTTTTAGAAAGTGGTGCACCACCCAAAAGGAAGTAACAATTTCAATTTCTGTTTTTGTACTTGAACGATAATATCTTGGTCACCTGTTCGGAATTAAAAGTAGTATTTTCAGTGCCAAGTCCCCTTTTTAGAAGATCACTGCTCCATTTAAGTGGTTAAATGGCATCAAGCTGTTATGAACTTTTAGGTATCCTGTAGGCGAACAGGCCAGTGCAACCCTGAGGTTTGTATTTGGAAACGGTTACTGTTGAAAAGAGCGGACTAAAATCTCCTTACTGTTGTGATGGTGAAGCGGATTGCGTGTCAGAGTGAGTCACATAGGCTGCGGCGGAGTGTGGGACAGCCTCGCTGACGATATCGTAGAGATGCTCTGCGTGTTCGTAGGCTTCCTGAACGACCTGATCGACTACCACTGGAGGAAAAGGAGCGACAAGTAAAATTGTAAAAAAAAAGCATCTGTCTCAACCGTAACGTGCTGACCAGTCAGTCTGGTTCATGTTTTGTGTAAATGAGGTATTAGTCACTATTTGAGAACCATGGACAGTGCATCGAACGAATGACCGATTTTCAAAAAAAATTCTCTTTAGCTCTGAAGTGGTGTGAACCTGGGATTGCCATTTCCCGTAGTACTTTGACAGATACTTAATAAAAAAGAAATGTAAACAAATCGAATGATCTGCCTTCAATGGAGAACATTTCGGCCCTCGATAGAAATTGGGAAGAGTTAGAAAAGAAACCCGAAAGAAGAGACTTACCTTTGACGTCAACATCGGGACACTGAAAGATAACGCCGCCATATTGGAAGAAATCCCGTACGGCAGCAACAGTAGCGTCCTTCATCTGTAGCAAACATGGAAACAAAACAGATGGAAGAATTAAAAGTACATTAAAGAGTTTAAAAAGTGTTTGAAACGATACATAACATCGTTTTTAGTTCAATCAAGAAAACGTTCCAGAGCCAAACTAAGTTAGAAAATTAAATGATCAGAATATTATTGTACATGATGTATTTGCCATCTGTGGAGGTTTTGAACCGTGTAATTTCAGTCATTTTTATGCCCCTTTCAACTCGGAATGCTCTTTAATCTTGTCGTTAGGTCCCTTTGATGTTTATTTTTCTAAAGACAAAGACAAATATAGTTTCACACCTCCTCCAGCCGTACACATTTTATAGATTTGCAGAAATTTCGAGTTGTACTGTCATTTTGTGACGCCAGGTGAGATTTGAAAACACTGCTTCAATTGAATTTCCGGAGAGAGTTCTTTGCCGGACATCACTTGACACCCTGCGCACAAACCCGACGAGACTAGTCTGAAAATTTCTATGTATTCTCCAAATAAATGCTTCGACACTTTCCTTGCAAAATGTGACTTTTTATAATACGATATATTATCGCTTTAAATTTCTGATGACTAATAAAATAACACTCTAGGGGAAAGTATTATGGAACTCTTTCCAAGTTGCTTAATGATTCTTCGTTATGCCAACTTCCAGGAATTTCTTATTCATCTGAATGGTCCAAAAGAATCTATAATTTGAACCTAATTCTAAAATCCAATTACGAAAATGTGTATTGACGCATGTTGGGCGTTGCACACCGAAAAATGTTCCTAACGAACATTTATGTTTTAAATAGCGATTTTCCAAATAATTAAAATCATAATGTTTAAACACAGCAAAATGAAATATCCAATCCGTCACAAGAAACGCCATCGTTTCCCCGTTTCAAAAGGTTCAGTGGAAAGTATTAAACTGAACTCCAACAATGTTAGCACACGAAAATGTTTGGGAAACCCAACAAAGAAAGAACATCCTTTGAAAGTCTGTACAATGATATCCAAACATTTCCATGAATGGATGACCTCTCAGAATGTAAACATTATTGTGTATAAACATGATGCATTCCAAATTATAAACGTGCACGAAAAGAAAAGACCAGCTAGGGCAGAACAAGGACCAATGCAGCACTTTTAAAGGGAACAAGTACTAAAATATTCTACTAAAATCCTTGAAATGGTACCTTTCGATTTAGCCGATTTTAGATTTCTTTTTCGCAATTTGTATGTGTATTTGGGGCCCTTTTGTTTTTTCCTCATATGAATTTGCATGTTTATAAGCAAAAATTAAACTTGTTTTGCTTTGTATACAAAATATGATGGATTTTTTCACTTCACCATCGAATATGTTAATTTCCTTTGGAAGTTTGCTGTATAAATTTATGGCAATAAGCCAGCGAGCAATCTTTTCTCAAATGTTTACATCGAGAAAATTTGGGATTCAAAATTTGAACATGAAAACATGCAACTGAACAATGACCTCATGGATTTACATTAACCGCGCCCTCGCTTGTCTGAAAAAGCTTAATCAATTTGGAATGTTCAAACCAGTGTCCTGTACAGTTCACTTCACTCTGAAAAAATTCAAATAGTAATTATACATTGGAGAAGAGTTAATCGAGCACAAAAGGTTTATGGCATTGTTCCTATAATGCACAAGTAAAATCTCATCGGTAAAATCAGGCCCCGAAATTTCTGTTCCGCATATTTCTTTCACAAATTATGACATTATTTAGATCGATTCTTAACATGCCGGATGTAAGAAGGAAGTTTCGATACATGTATACTTCGCGTCATTTGCTTGAACAAAGGATTGTTAAGAAAGCACTGAAAATTCAAACCGAGTCCTGTACTTGGGTCGTGAAAAATATTCATAAAACTCGTCAATACATTAAGGAACTTTGGGGGTTTTGCTGACCAACTCGAAAAGTAAAAATTGGATGACTGTTAAAAAGAGGTCTCAATCCGACATCCTACCTGACTATCTTTGTCCGCATAGTCTTCCTCCGATGCCAACTCTCCGAGAATCTCAAGCTTCCTGTTGAGTTGATACCGTATATCTTCCAGTTGGTCCAGGGCATGGACGGACTTCGCCTTCCAGTCCTGAACCCTCTGCTGACCGCAAGGAACCGGGGGCTGATCCTGCACGGCCCTTACGACGGAGTCGGAGGGTGCGGTGTGGACCGACACGACTACCGCTAGCAGCAACAGCACCAAGGCAATCGTGGGCGTGGTCATGGCAGCGAGATCCGCAAAGGCCATACACACGCAGAGAAAATTAACAGTCCCACACGACAACCAGGCAAAGATTGAACGCCCAGCTTGGCGTTCATCAGCTTTTTTATGCCGAGAACCGGGAAGGCTCTATGGCATTCAATTGCTTTTAGTTGACTTAATGCTAAAGGCTGACCAGGTGTAGCAGTCTTACTTTAAAAAAAACCTTTTGTTTTCCTCAAAGTGTTCGAGTTTTTAGAGTTCATTCAAACGATTTATGTTATTTCAAGAATGCTGTTTGTTTCAAGAATCAGGGGGCGACCCAGATTTTACAAAGACACATAGCTTCTTACATTGCTCAAGTAGAGGCAGCAAATTCCGATTCCAGTGGCATCCTATTATGGGGGTGAATGAATGAGGGAAAACCCGACAGCATTTTTTTCCCAAGGGAATCAAACATAACGAAGCAAGATTTGACAAGGACAGAACCCCCCCCCCCCGATTTGCGTTGGTCATTGTTTCACTGGAATCTGAGGAATTCTGTTCAGATAGGGGGGGGTGTTAGGTAACAATAGTCTAGAATGTGTATAGCAATTGGACAGGTTGGGGTACCCTCGGTCTCATTCTTGCTGGATATAGAATCAAAAGCAAATGAACTGCTGCTATTATTAGTGAACTATGTGCATTTCAAGATTTCAAAGGGCGGGGAGCAGCCCACTCCATCCAGTAGTTACGCCATCCAGGCCCAAAATAAGTTTGTAACAGATTGGGAAACCATAGGTCCTACAGAAACTTTGACTCTTAAGTTTAAGAGCCTCGACAAACACTTTCTCAGTAATACAACAAAAAGACATCCGCAAGAAAGTGGACTAGTAGGCCTACGCATATTTCGTACAGTAGGTACCGGCAGGATCAGAAACTATTGTACATATATAAGGAATCCTTTACTGCTTCTTAGGCCCAGGCAATATGGAGTGCTACTGCCTCCCCAAAAGTGATTTCACCTTCTAACCTATCCCCTCAATTCAATCTGCAACAACGTCTGAGTTTGTAAATGGTATTTTTTTGTAAGAGCATGGAGAAGTGTACAAGTGTCCAGGACCAAGTTAGATCCATAGCAAGTGTTGAAAGACTAGCACAGACTATTACACGATATATCAGGGTTCTAATGCAATTATTATCTGTGTTCACTCTAGTCCACTGATAACCACAGTTGATCACATCGTTCCGGTGACGTGTGTAGGTAAACACATCCGCTGTTGACTTTGTGATAGATGTCCCGTCCCGGCCAACTATCTCGAGATAATTGGGTGCAGATTTCTTCTTTCGACCCGCATTGTTTGGGGCTGCGTGCGTGTGTGCGTGGGATTGTTTTTTTGGCTTTCAAAGTCTCTTTGGACCGACTACGTAATGCCAAAGGTGAGTCTATGCCGCTGCTTCTCTCGGGGTGCGGCTGATGGGACAATTCCCTGGTACTTCACAGTCGCCCAGTGCGCTGTTTGGTGATGTACCCCTTCGTAGGCTCGTTCTGTTTACCTGCTCGGCTAGTCCAGCCTAAGTCTCTTTCCACATGCTCCCATGAGTAACGATAGCAAAGTCAACATAGAGGGGATTGCCGAATATGTCTGTCGTCTCCAAAAACGGATGTGCGGATGTTCAGCAACTGAAGGCAATTTGGCGTGACTGTGGCTTGCAATGTTAAATGTATTTCTAGAAGTTCCAAGGTAATACGCTTGGAAGGAAAGGCGATGTGAAGTGAAGCGTGGCCGTGAGAAACCAGACCAGAGAGGAACGATCGAATATCTTTCGAAAAACCGTGTGAAAGGTGTCTTGAAACGCCATGTCAAGTAAGTGAATTGTTTCAAACAAAATCACAACTCAAAAGTAAACTTACCTATTCATCTAGATTTTCGGCATTTTCGGCCGTTTGCCCAGCCGCTTTTTTTTGCTGCGGCCGTGACGTGAATTTGTTGGGAAGTTTTTGTTTTCTCGCTCGTCAAAAGAATAACCATGAGTGGGAAAGCCCATGCGACGTCCTTCGCCAAATGATAATTATGGAGGTAAATAAAAAAAATAAAACAACCATTGCCAATGAAATCACACACATTTATTTCAAGATTGTGGTACCCAGAAGAAGTACAGTACTTCGACATCAGCGACTTTACATTGGAGGACAAGATTTGATGCCACCATATTATTCTTGAGATTTGAATTTGGGCCTAGTACATGAAAAGTTCGACCTCTGAAACAGTGGGCCCCCTAAGCAGCAAATATATCCGCACTAGACGTCGACAGATCGATTGTTGTTCGGAGCGACTCTGGAATGATTTGGTTTTCAACGTCGGCCTTTTCATAAGCCGAACTCAATGTAAATTTAAAACACGGTAATTAAGAAATTTAGCCTTAAGAATGCCGCCATCCATTGATATCCCTGGAGGTACGGTTGTCATGGTATAAGCACAGATGAATACAGACCTTGGAAATGATGTGGATGATGTAATTATTTGAATACGATTTTCATTCAAACTCTGTATTTACGTTGCACAGACAGAAACTGACTTGCGTAGCTAATTAGTAGGCCCAGTCACGTTGCAACCGCTAATTAGAATAGAAAAATGTCTTTCCTCGTCCTTTCTCAACTTAATCCATATTACACCTGCACTGTTTCATGGATACAACTTGATTTTTGCGTATTCTTGAATTAATGTGAAAACAATGCCACAGTGCAAGTATTGTGTCATGACCTTATGTGTGACCTTGGTCTTGCTCTCCGGCGTCATATTACTTTTTGAAGGTTTTCTGCGAGAGCAGTTTGACTATCTGTCCTTATTGATCTTTGGCAGTGTCCACAGGAGGCATCGTAGCTGTTGTGCTCGTCATCATTCTAATCCTTATCGTCACTGTAGTGTTAGTGGTCATCAAATGTAGAAATCAGTCACCGAAATACCAACCCTGGAAACCCACCGAGGAAACGGGAGGTACCTCCAAGAAACCCGGTTAGATGCCCAGCGTGTTGTTGTCTCTGAGCCAGTGTTTTAGTACTGGTTTACTCGCACCGACTACCCAATTTGGCTCTGCTACCTAGGAAATTCCTTTAAAAAGTACTTGAACTCGTATTCACAAGGGAAAAAATGCTATGCACTCGTATATGCAGAAGGTGTATTCTTAATCATGGAAACGTACTCGCGTGTTGTAACACAATCAATTCGCTCACGTTTGTCACATATCTTGGATCATATTTTTGCCGAAGTATTCACCCATGAATGCATTGCTGCAACCACGGTTATTCTATACCATGGCAAGAAACCTCCAACTACGGTTTTGTTTTTGTCACTGGGGGCTCCCACGAACTCCTATAATTTGAACATGTATATAACACACTGAACATTGTTAATGTAGTTAATTTTTGCTAAGTTTAATGCATCCTCAGATTGGGTGAGAAGTTCACATAAGTGAAACACTGCAGCTCAGACTGTGTTGAAAGCGTAATGGTGCTTGGAATTCATGTCCTCCGTTTTCCCCTCTTGGCTCATGCTCAGACCCCTCCCCGACAGGCCCTCGCTCCCGCACCAGTTCAAGCAGGAGCCCCCTGTTTGACCGCAGGCAGACCCCGGCCCCGCACCTCGTTATACCGCTCGCCTCGTCCACGCCGAACGTCACAACCATCCACATCCCAGTTAGCGGCACTCGCCACCACTCGGACACGGACTCCGACAGCTCGTCGTCCACCTCGGAGAGGGACGAGGAGCGGTTGCAGGACGATGTCGACCAGGCGACCGACGGCCTCCTCCACTCGGCGGAGAGAACCTCCGACGATGCGCTAGCGGAGGATGGGGATATAAACTCCAAGACTCCCCAAGGAGTTGGATTGGACCGTGGCGGCACCTCTTCCTCATCGGACGACCAGGCGGAAAGAGACGCGGACGAAGAGGGCAGCGCCTCTTGCACCCTGTCTCCAGCCCACAGTGCCCCCGAGATCAGCGTGGTGCAAGTCATGAGCGCTCCGGAAATGGGTGGATCTTCCCGCAACAAGTCTACTCTGGAGAGTGATTACGAAGAAACGGCGTACTCGGTTTACCGGCAGAAGAAAGGTTCGTTGTGTGATGCGAATTTATATCTGAAGCGATTTAATAATTGGAACTGCATCTCCAGTGCGTTAGCCAGCCGTAGTTGTAAAAGGGTTCGGAACTGCGCATGCCCTTATTACTTGTGGACCTTCCTATGCAATGCCAGAATCGGGCACGGTAGTTTAGGCTCGCTGTTTCATTGATAAATTTTCAATTGTTTTCAGAGGTTTTACAAACACCCAGTACTGCTATGCCCCACGAACAGGAACATACAACAGTCGTTGACAATCATTTGCCGCCTGCAGAAAAGAAAAAGAAGCGAAAGCGGGTAAGGTTTGCTGAGCCGGGATTTATCCTTGGGTGAAATTGCCCATTGCCATAAGATAAGGCATGCAGAGAGAGAGAGGGACGAGTCTTTTTTATCATTTATTTTATTCCCCCGAAAAACGGAGTTTGCAAACCGGCCCCAAATTTAGCCTCAAAGCTCGGAAGAACGAGAAAGATTCACAGGACAAAATAATTTTTACTCCTTCCCCTTTTTTCCATCCACGAAAGTTTTGTACTGGATCTGCCAATGGTTTCTTCTGGAAATTTTTGGTTACGCCTTGTAACAGATTCCACAGCCTGCAAAGTGGTTCTGAAAAAAAGAAATATTTGTCATAACGTTTCGGTCAGTGTGCTCTTACCGTCATTAGATCTTAAATGACATAAGGTTAAGTTCTTTAGATTTAAAAATCATCAACCGGTTGGTCTTGTGTTGAGTTACAACTTCACAGTCAGCCATTGGTACCCGATTTAACGTTTTCAGTTTATAACAAATCCAGCTTACAACTGCCAAGTTATAATACCAACTTATTTTGACAACCAGAGAGGCATAAGTGTGCCACATATGCCTTACCGACATCACACTAAAGGAGAGGGACGAGGTGGCGCTCTACTGCTCCACGAGCAAGCACACACCCTCCACAAGGGGCACTCCGGTTCGGTAGGCAGCCTCACGAATTTGGGTAAGGAAGGTTTGACGGCATGTGGGTTCATAGGACCGGAGGCGTGACGGGATGAGACGGGATGGTAGAGGCGAAGTGTTGGGAGGGAGGAGGTTACTTACGTGTGCTGTTATGGGTTAAAAGAAAGATAGCATCTCAAACAAACGTTTGAAAAGAGGTCCTTTCCCATGTCAGGTGAGCCTATGGGGAAGTTGTTCATCCGTGTCCAGCATAAAGCCAGCGAGGAGAAACTGCTCCTGTTCATCGACAAGGTAATAGGGTCAACTTGATGTTTTTGATGTAATGAAGTAGCTTTTCCCCAATGTCCAAAGGGTAAACGGGCTCTCTGTCCTGAGCAGATGCACCCCCCTCATCGGTTGAAAGGATCAATTTTGGTCGGGAACGCTCATTTTGTTGGTAGCGATGCGACTGCAACGCTTGCGTTTCAGTGTCGTTCGTGAACCAGCGATGCGCAGTTACTACCCAAGGAGCCTCTGTTGCTGAGAAAATTGTACCTTTCTTGGTCTGGCTCGAAGCCCATTAGATGCACACTATTCGGGAGCCGACAAGGGAAGTTCTTTAGTGTACTATGAAGAGCGTTGGTGTTGTGTTCCTCATTTAAAGGTGAACAGACGCATATGGGCGGAAATTCCGGGGAATGGGGGGGGGTACATATGCCCCGCTCCAACTTTTTGAAGTGGTGGAATGGGCTATTGAATCATCCCCAACGGATTATGAAGAATTTACAGCATTTTCCATCAACTTTAAGTTTGCAATATCACTGAAAGGGGAAGTAATTTTTTAAAAGCCATAATTATGACTTTGTGATATAAGATTCTACATGAATCTTTAATTATCACAGATGTACATCTTTATCATGAACTAGGCCCCCATATTGTGTAATGGTGTCACCCACCCTGCTTTTCAAATTTCCATGGCCGGGCAAGTCACCCCCCACCTTTCCCTATCCCCCCCCCCATTTCCAAGACAGATTTACGCCACTGACGGACAGGAAAACGTCGTGGTTGAATAACTGTCCAATGTCACGGTTCAACAGTATTTCTTTCAACTTAACAGTTCCACTCGTTCGAGTTCAAAATTGCGGTGGGACGTTTGAAAAGTTGAACCGGATCAAAGCTTGAAAAGTTGAGCCACGACGTTTAAACAGGTAGGCGTTTCCAGTCTGTATTAGAGTATTGATCGCATCATCGGCAGGTGGCGGACCTAGATCTACCGGAGCGCCTGAAGTACCGACAGAGCTTCAATCCCGCGCTCTACATCAAGGGAGGATTCCTACCTTCCATGGGCCAAAGATTCATCACAAAATACGCCGCTTTGGCAGAGGTAAAAGATGGCCCGTGGAGTGTAACGGTGAGGCATTTTTATAGAACGATGACAGGTGGTTTTCGTCCATTACCGGTTTCCGCGATAATCGTTTAAAAAATCATATCCGAGAATCCGAGGAAAAGCTGTTTCGTATCTCTTTCCCCACAGATGGATAGAGTTGAAGTTAAAAACACACAGTGAATGAGTTTAGGGTGCTAGATTTATCCCTAAGCTACATCATTGTAGGCGTTGAGCCATTTCAGATTGAAGACGCAATTTCTTAATTCTTCAGTCCAGTTTCCGAACGTCTGGATTTTTTTACGGAACTGACACGTACACTGAAATAGCATTAATTTCTGACAAAGTTTTAGGAGTACATAAGTAACTGCCACACTGTTTAACAAGCGTAGAACTGAGTTCAAATGAGGGAAGGTTATGCGGCAATAACTTTGTCGTTCACGCATAAAATTTGAAACTTTTAACCTCACACAAATGTGAATATTGCTGTTTTAACACAGAAACAGATATTATCGTTTTCACCTCTATCTCAGAATAGACGGACTCTCTTGATAATGTCGAAATATAAAATCTGTTGTGATTTATCAGAACGTAAGCTGGCGTAACGAGTTCGCTATCATGGGCATATCCAAGTCGGCAGCGTGGCAGCTTACCCTACGCCTGTGCTTGTGTTTCCGAGAGAGCAGCATCAACAGGATTCAGATCATCGGGGTCTGCGACATAGCACTCGGTCAAATCAACCTGGAGAACTCACAGGACGTTGTCCTCAACTTTTTCCCAAGCGAGCGAATATACGTAAGTTACAGGTGGATTTTTTGCCAGGGTTGTGGTGACAAGGACAAAGAGCTAAACCACAACGACAAAGTGAATTCTGTGTACTTTCAAAGCCCGGATAATTTTTTTTTCAGGAAAATACCAGATGCAAAAAGCGCTGACGGATATGAGCTAATGACGTGAGAATAAACAAATATACTTGAGGTCCTAGATTTGATGAAGGACTTTCTTTGCGATTGTGAAACGATTATATTGCGAGTGAAACTGCAAAAAATGCCTTTGAAATCGGAATGTATGGGTCGTCTTTATAGCATATAGTATACTTAAGCGAATTCCAGTTTCTTCCAGTCAGTGAACATGGAAGACAGAGCGACAGTTCACAAGATGATGTGAGATTTGATGTGAACCTTGTTTTCAAAATTTGAAGAATTCTTAACATTTAATTTTTAAAATATGGAGGGCCTGACGTTTCGATCCTAGCAGATCTTTCTCAAAGGCAAATTGGCAAGTGGACAGGACAAACAAGCACACAGATAATCAACCAAGCATGGATGAATGCAAGAGGACAAAAGGAAAGGTCAAGACAGCTGCAGGCTGGATAAAGGGGCAAGGGATGAAGGGATTGCAAGAAAGGCATGGTTGAACAACAAAGGAATGTAAGGTGGGAAGAGATCAAAGGAAAAATACAATGGATGGAACGGGTCTGCAGACAAAAGAGAGGGAGAGAAAAGAGTGTTAATTAGTAGTTTTGTCCTTGGATGTTCAGGCCAAGGGGTTGTATGGTATGGAGGCATTGGATCCAAATCTTCTCCCTGTTGAAGCGAACAGCCTCTTTACGGTAGCCATGTGATTCTATGCCCTGTAAGATCATTTCAGACATAGAATGGTTAGGAAGGTTGAAGTGGTAGCCTACAGGCGTATCTAGTCGTTTGGTGTTGACCGTGGATCTGTGTCCTCTTGCATTCATCCATGCTTGGTTGATAATCAGTTTGCTCGTTTGTCCTGTCCACTTGTCATTTTGCCTTTGAGAAAGATTCTGCTCGGATCAAAACGTGAGGGCCCTCTTATTTTGAGATTTGTATTTTAGGTCCTTGTAGTCAGCAAGCAGTTTGCAACAGTTTTGTATTACATATCTTTGCATTTCATTTTTAGAAAACACCTGGATATTTGCTTCAGAATCATCGTCTGAAACGATTTCTAAGTGTTTTGATCGAGAGCTCTCAAATACAAATGTGAAGGGTTTATAATTTTTTAAAACATTTCTGCATGTGTCCAGTTCGACCTCGGTGATCTTCACCTGTCTGTCTGCTATCAGCCTAGTCTTCAGCGGATGGTCTTCCTTGTCTTAGAAGCTAGGGATCTCCCACGCAGCACTGTCTTTGGAAGCATACGTTAGTAAATTTTGAATGTCATACACAGTGGCGTAATGTCCAGGGGAGCATACCGGGTGGGAACACCTTTTTTCAATGGGGCACCGCAAGAAAATAATCTGCACTTGCATTTAAACTGGGATTATTCACAAATTTAAAGGAGGAAGCACGGGCATCCCCTGGGGCCATGTGCCCCCCACGCAGTTACCCCACTAGTCAAACACGGAGTGGGCGTGTTAAACCCAAGGAAGGTGGGCGTTGACACCTTACCCCTCCCTGTACGCAGTGTATAAGTGTCGATCACTCCACTAATAAAAAAACCCAAAGACATGACGACACGGCGTCACACACCCAGTACCAATGCTGAGAATTTACAATGCCTTCCTTCAGGTGTTATAAATGTATATTGTACCACTATCATTGACAAAATGTAGACCATTATCGACCACGTTCGACCTAGAACTCGGGGGGGGGGGCACAGTGTGACAAACGTCACTCGAGCGGTGGACGGTTTGACTAGTCTAGTCGATCCGTTGGAACAAGTCTCTTGTGTATAGTTCCATCGTGGATTATCGATCACCTTTCAGACTAAAATTAAGTACAGAAGGAACCAGTGACATGAAAATAATACTGCAAAATGGCAGCAATCATGAAAGCAGCGCGCAATACAACCGGCGGCTTAATGTGAGTGACGATGAAGTTTGCCTTCAAACTTTCCATCATAAGCTTTTGCCAGTAGGCCCACACCATCCATAGTAAATTTCATTTACCATCTGTTAATTCGACCAGATAGGCCGACAGTTAATTCTGATCCTCGTTATGATTTTCAACGTTCATTCTCAGTTCCTCCACCTTTGGTAACTTACTTTACAGATTCCATAGCTAAAATTGAGATGATGTGCGACAGAAAGCGCGTGGAAAAGCAGAAATCGAAGGTAGTCCGAGAGACGCACAACCCAATCTGGAATGACCAGATCGTATTCACCATTCCGCCAAATAACATCAAGTTGCAGGATATACAGTTTGACGTGACCGTGCTGCACGTGGATATGGTCAAGGGAGCTCATGTTATCGGCAAGGTAAACCTTTTGTCCGTTTTCCATAAAAAATCAGAATAACAAGAGAGGTTACTTATTTTGTGAAAGATGATTTGAAGTCACGATGCAGACATGCAATGTGAACGAGGAACGTACTTTGGTCAAGAAGAAATTGTACGGCGTGCCTTGCTTCGACTCTACGTGACACCCTGCCCACGTTGGGGTCATTAACTGCCTAGACGTCATAAATTCTTTATTTGGAATCAAAACATGGTATCAAAACGCAGTGAAATAAGTTGCCACCAGCGACTTGAAGACCGCGCCATGCGTGCCTAATTCTCAACTGTCAAATTGAAAATGATTATTACAACTGGACCTTGGTTGGCGGTATACCAGTTGCTTTTGCTTGGAACCCAACGAAAACAAGTTGTCTTCTTTATACTCAGCGAATCTGGACTCGCGGTGGATCTAAAGTAACATTTAGAAAACAAGCACGCTAGCCCCACGGTGTGACGCTTAAACGTGGCTGCTACAAAGTAGGCCTGAACTCTCTTTATAGTAAGAGCAACAAACTCCCGGTGTTGATCGGGCTTATGGCGCAGAAACCCCCCACCGGTAAAATTACATGTACTTCGATTCGCTCGATACATACCCAACACATTTACAATATAACTCACATGGATAAAGGGTTAGCAAAGGGTTAGCCTAGCTTCTGTCTTCGTTGAATTCACAAAAGCCTTTCCATTTTTGTGTTCTTTCATAGTGTGAGCTCGGATGGTCAGCCACGTGCGAAGAGCTACAACATTGGAATGACGTCATGCAGAACCCTAATAGGCCAATACCGATGTGGCTCAGCCTACAGTACCCGGATTGAACGTGTACCATGTTGCCCCCTCCTACCAGATCGCTTTCCATGGCTGTCTTGGGCAATGGTATACGAACAAGAGTTCAGGGACTAGAAAACACCCGATCTTACTTCACAAATATTAAATGCTCGTCTGTGTTAGCCTTGAGACATCTTAATGGCAGTTGCTGAAACGTGCTCTTGCACATACATGTATGCACAAGCCGCCTATCATTCCTGTCCAAAGGGCAATTTTTCGTTGTTTACAATGTACAATACACTAACTTTTGTAACACATGTTTGGGAAGACCGAATGATTGTCAATAGAGTAACCTGGAAGTACATGTAACTCCGTACTATTGTACATGTACTCTGCTTACAGAGTTGTGTAGATATTTGTACAGCGTTCAGACTTGGAGAACTCTACACATGTAATTTGTTGTTGCTCATTTTGCAGTGTCATGTATCGGAAATTATATTAATGGATGAACTGGGCTTCAGTTTAGGCCCTACTTCAATTTGCAAGATTCACCTTTCTTGTGTGTGTGAGTTTGTTTCTGCATGCAATTGGGGACCCTGAACAATAGAGGACAATAAGGTCCCCGATTGACAGAGGGTCCCCGATTGACTAC